GCGTGCTTGAAATACATGAAATTTGTTTATTTATATTAAGGGATAACTTATTGCATTGAAACCACAGAGATAATTTTGGCAACTCATTATTTAAAGTGTATTTACTAAAGTGTTTAAATTATGATGTGAACAGCAGATGTTCGTGTCATCAGCAAATAGGACAAATGGTAATAAAGGTTGTATTGGTTAAATCATTAATATGTAATAGAAAAAAGCTGCTATGTGGGCAAGCGTTTTGAATATTATAAAGGTTAAGTAGGAATGAAAGGTTGTGTTTTATATTGTTCTTTCTTTTGGCCAGATGCCTGTTCTTTATTTTCCTTTTTTTCTCACGAGCATTGTTTATCTCTCGTTGTCTCTTGTAATCTAATATAATCTCTTAATACCAGCAATGGACAACTAGTAGTTTGATTGTTGTTGTTTTTGTGTATGTTAGACAGGTTTACATTTCACGTCATTTATTGAGTTCGGGAACATCCCCTTGTTTAACCAATATTGAAACTTAGTTTTAATCTTTCATCTTCTATTGACTTATCTTTATAAACATCTAAATTCTATTTCACCTGCATGGACATTTTGAAGCTCTATTTCTTCGTTATTTGTACGAAGCTATGAACCTGCATATCTTATATGTTTTGAAATCACAATCTGTATATCAGCCTTCGTGGGCTACCTTCTCCGTCATTGTTGCAATAACCCTTTGAATTCTAAATGTTCCAAATTCTATTATACTCAAAAGAACCGGTAATTTTATATCATCAATGAAACTTGTTAATCGTATTTGAATATACACAGTACACTGGTTAAGTTTTTCAATATCGTTTAATGTATTATTATTGTACCTTTATGCCATGAACTCTTTACTCTGTAAATTAAACAATTACAGCTATCAGCTGCATGTACGATGATTTTTTTTTCTCCCAATAACCAATACAATACCATACAATAAAATCACATCTTTTCTAAAAAATAAGTATATTTGGACCAATATTGCGCTGTAGCATAAATAGAACAAATCAGACAACACATCTTTAGATATAAAAACGTATACGCTTCCCATCTTTCAAAACAAATGGTTTGTAATGAAAATTTGTATGGCCAAAAATGGATCAAGTGTAGCTATTAAAGGGATAGTTGAGTTCTGTTTTCAGACCGCAAATGCCTTCAAAGTGCATAGTTATTGCTCTTATTCTTATCTATGACACTTATAGTGCCCTTTTAGATCCTAAAACTGCTATGAAGGTAATTTTAGACCCCAAAATTAGACCGTGGGCCGAGCGCGATTTTAGGACTTAGTTTTCTTTTTTTGGACTGACTTTGTGGTACATAGTTTTTGGTAACCAGAAATTAGGATAAAAATACTCAAGTCCCAAATCAGCTTATTCCTGCGAATGAATCCTTGTCGTTAGTATAAAACATAAGTTTCATTGACAAGCTATTTAAGAGAAATGTGCGTGAACGAGACCGCCAACTCTCCGTTCGTACACGTGTATAAACTCACCGTGCGACGAGAGTGAAACAGCACATTCTCCGTCTCCGTCGTACGAAGAAATTATGTAATCCATTCGAATATTTCACAAAGCCAATCACATTTGCTGATGTGAATAATATGATTTTGCAAATATGAACTGCGAAAACTAATGAAAACCTCGTCAGGGTGAAAATATTTCGAAAATGAGGGGTCATAGCTACCATGAAACAGACGAGAAATAACGCGTTGCCAATTTGATATTATTGTAAGGATCGTATGCAATTCTCTTGAATGTACACTGATCTGTGTAGAGATCAGTGGCTCCGTACTGACAAGACTCGAGTAAGTTTTGTGTAATTAAAACTTTTGATGAAAACATTTCTTGTATTAGCAATGCAATGGTAGTTTGAGAATAGGCCTACAGAATTAGAGTCCCTAAATATTCATTGTAATTATAAAAAAAGAAATATGTCTTTTTGTATTTCCAGTCTTGTAGTAGTTTTTACATGTTTTCAAATGTTTGATTTTTTTTTTTTTGGGGGGGGGGGGGACACGCTTAATAAGGTATACGGGATGTGGGTGACTTTTCTTTCCTGGAGGAAGAAAAATGACAATGTTTATTCAAAATTACGCTGCATTCACTGGCTTAAAAATTGATAACAAATACATGCTGAGGTATTATATGTGAAGTGTACAGAATGATGATGTATAATTTTATGTCGTCTGGATTTTGAAATCATGTGATGTTATTATAGTTTGTTATGTTTTGATGAACGGAATGCCCATCTTCATGAATGTGTGAAGAACCATTTACTGGATGAGAATGTGAAATGGAAGATAATGTCTGTATGCAAAAGCTTCCACTTAACCCAAAATATATAAATATACTTGTATATATGAGACATTCATTTGAAGAAAAAAAATCCTCCTCCAAAGGGGATGGGCCGGGAAAATTCATTAAACACCTGAAAAGGCCAAGGACCTTTTATGTCGGGTTTATCCTTGATGTTTTCGGCTTGCTCGTCAGTGAATTTCTTCGATGCCTCTCCCCCCCCCCCTTGGATCCACAGCTGCCAAATGATAAATTTATTGAAGTGTATATTCATTGAAGTGTTTCGGAAGTGATCCATATTCCACTTCAGGAAAGTAAAAAGAAAAACAAAATGAGTGGAACTAAAACGTTTTTTGGTGACATGTGACAATTTATTTCTTCAATCATTTATTCATGTTCATCTTTAATAAATTGATTGGTTTCTTCCATTATAAAATATTTTATTTTTGGTTAACAAATTATGCCATGGGGTGGGGGTACTCACATTTTGGTTCCGACTGGGGTGTGCCGCTAACAACTGACACCTTGTCACCATTTTTTCAGTCAAAAATGTCATAAGTCCTGACAAAATGTATAAGGCCGACAACTAACCCGTACCTATATTTAATGGTCATTTAGGCAGAACGGGGGCCATTATTTAAAAGTTTTTTTTTTTTTGTATACTCCAGCGAAAAAATGAGCTAAAATATCCGATCTGAATTAGGCCTACAAAACCCTAACCCTTGTCAAGTGATTTTTTGGTGAAAAAATCACGCATTCCGGCGGCACATGATTCCCGTCCCGGATCCCCGTAAACCTTTATAAATATATTTACTTATATTCATTTATTTTTGGTTAAGTGGAAGCCTTCACATACCGACATTTATCTTTCATTTCACATTCTCATCCAGTAAATGGTTCTTCGCACATATGTAGATGGGCATTCAATTCATCAAAACATAACAAAACTAACAGAAAATATGCTCTTAAATCTGTGTATTTTACTTATTAAACAATATTATTGAGTGTTTCTTGTAAGTATCGGCTTCTGGTATACAGATCTGACAGGAAGAGGGGAAAACATGGAAAAGGATATAAAACCTTGTTACCATTTGTTTAGTCAAAAATGTATAAGTCCTGACAAATAAAATTTCTGTAAAACAAACATGTATGAAAACATTCTGTATAACTATAATAACATCACATGATTTCAAAATCCAGACGACACAAAAATATACATTATCATTCTGTACACTTCACATATATACCTCAGCATGTATCTGTATCAATTTTTAAGCCAGTGAATGCAGTGTAATTTTGAATAAACATTGTCATATTTCTTCCTCCAGGAAAGAAAAGTCACCCACATCCCGTATACCTTATTAAGCGTGTCCCCCCCCCCCCAAAAAAAAAAAAAAAATTCTAAAACTTCTAAAAAATTCAAACATTTGAAAACATGTAAAAACTACTACAGGACTGGAAATAAAAAAGACATATATCTTTTTTTATAATTACAATGAATATTTAGGAACTCTAATTCTGTAGGCCTATTCTTAAACTACCATTGCATTGCTAATACAAGAAATGTTTTCATCAAAAGTTTTAATTACACAAAACTTACTCGAGTCTTGTCAGTACGGAGCCACTGATCTCTACACAGATCAGTGTACATTCAAGAGAATTGCATACGATCCTTACAATAATATCAAATTGGCAACGCGCTATTTCTCGTCTGTTTCATGGTAGCTATGACCCCTCATTTTCGAAATATTTTCACCCTGACGAGGTTTTCATTAGTTTTCGCAGTTAATATTTGCAAAATCATATTATTTACATAAGCAAATGTGATTGGCTTTGGGAAATATTCGAATGGATTACATAATTTCTTCGTACGACGGAGACGGAGAATGTGCTGTTTCACTCTCGTCGCACGGTGAGTTAATACACGTGTACGAACGGAGAGTTGGCGGTCTCGTTCACGCACATTTCTCTTAAATAACTTGTCAATTAAACTTATGTTTTATCCAAACGACAAGGACTCATTCGCAGGAATAAGCTGATTTGGGATTTGTGTATTTTTATCTTTTTATTAACATTATCTAAATCTTGTACCGGAATCTATGCAACGAACTGGAAGGAAAATCGCGCTCGGCCCACGGTCTAAATGTGTGAAATTTAGCCAATACGATCATACCAATTCAGCTCCACTTTAAAAAAAACATGGTGTCCGTTAATTAATTATTTAATTAAAATAACAATACATGAGCCGGCTAATTGTGGGTAATATAAGCAACACAAAAATGCAAACAAAAAAGCCAGCATTGGCATTGGCTAAAATACGACGTAAAAGGCGTTATTTCGTTTTTTTTCAACGGTTTTTTCAAATTTTCCAAAATATCTAATATTTGTGGTGGTACAAAAGTATTAGAAATCGTTATATTTCAGCCGTTTCTGAACCGATTTTGATCAAACAAAGATGATTTTGTTATTTAAATATATTGTTCTTTCAAATTTGACACTCAGTTTTTCATTATCTCACAAAAAATTATTTTGTGTAGCGCCCTCTGCAACAGAAACTGTCCCTTTAAGCGATGTGTTATGACAGACAAAAAGATGTACAACGTCATAATGCGTCAAAAACTAGCATCTGCTCTATTGTTGCATTGTCTAGATTATTGATTATTAAGATGCGTTTCAAGGGGTAAACAGAAAAGCACAGCAATATTCAATTTTCAGTCCACGTATCACGAGTTCCAACGGTGTGCTGTCATATTGAACAAGGTGGCGACTAAGTGAAGTCGGCATGTTGCACTAGACCTAGCTCAACCAAATAAGTAAGTTCTCCTGATAATTATTACAGAACTTGCCTAATATTTCCTTGTTTAATCTAAGTTGTTTATTTGAACACCAAAGTGTGCAGGAGTTTCGTAACAATATTTTGATTTGTGATTTGTAAACAGTTGTTTATGTCGAGGATTATGTTTTTTTAAACTGCAGTCGGTACTAATTGCATTCAATGTTTAGTAATAGAATTTACGGTGCATGTGTACATACACTTCGTTTTTTTAGTTCAAGTACAGGTGTTTAACTTTAATTCAAATTCTTAAAACTGCATATAAACCATGCATTTCGTTATAGAATGTAATCAAAACAAATTCTCTGCAATGAAAATTATGATTTCAATATGAATTTCATCACAAATAGGCAGTGAAAGTGAAAACAAAAAACTGCATACTTTTGTTTATAGAACGAGTTGCATCCGATATTCTTCGTGGTAAATTGAAAGTCGCCCGGGTAACATAACTTTTTGGTTGAGTATAGTATTTATTCAGTAGATAATTGTTCTGTATACAGGCGGTTTCAGACATACAATTGCACGATCGAACACCGATTATAATCAGGATGTCTTCGCCAGGGTTTCTCTGGTGTATGCCCCGCCGTCTCGGGGCGGTAAAGTTCCTTCTCCTGGTCCTCTGGGTCTCTGGAACACTTCAGGATTTGGGTAATGTGACTTTTATTCAATCTTTCAAAGTGTTGTTACAATTATGACTTTAAATAATATTCTGGTTGTATTTACCTAGGGTAGCCACTGTCAGATTTAATACCACTCTTCCTGTGGGCCCTGCAAATATCATGACACCAATATAACCATGTAACTAATTAAATCTTGTGGAGGGGGACATAATACGGTGGGCAAAACACCTTGTTCCGGGATGGAAACACCGACTCGAGTATTGAACCCAGAACCCAGTTGTATGATAGTCAAGAGCCTTCATCAATGTATTACAGCACTCCCAAAGTGTCGTCATTAAATAGTGATTAGGCTAAAGTCGTCCTAAGTTGAGGGAACCACAAGACAAAAAGGCTCCAACATCCTATGCGGGTGTCGTCGTCTAGTGAATATGTTACCGGACTGTTAATGGCATGGTTCGCGATTCGAGTCCCGCCGCGGCCCTAATGTCCTTTAGCCAGACATTAATTTACATTTGCCACTCTCCACCAAGGCGCATTAAATGGGTACCTGATAGAAATGTATTACTTGAATGCTTTACCCGGTTTCGGGTAGCTGGGCTAAAGTCAGTGCAATGATAGTACTTGGTAGGCGCCTTGAGCATCCCCTGAAACGGATACGTTCGCAACATTGATGAATTAATTTTATTTTGTAGTTTGAATCTGTTGAACATTACGTTGCAAAACGAAAACACAAACTAGTCATCTATTCTGCGAAGTGGGCAAGCGTTTTGAATATCATAAAGGGTATTAGGAATGAAAGGTTGTGTTTTATATTGTTCTTTCATTTGGCCAGATGCCTGCTCTTTATATTACCTTTCTTTCTGATGAACATTGTTTATCTCTCGTTGTCTCTTGTACTCTATTGTAAATCTCGTAATAACAGCAATCGACAACTAGTTGTTTGATTGTTGTTGTTTTTGTGTTTGTTAGACAGGTTTACATTTCATGTCATTTATTGAGTTCGGGAACATCACCTTGTTTAACCAATATTGCAACTTGGTATTAATCTTTAATCTTCTATTCTACTTATCCTTTTAACCATCTGAATTATATTTCACCTGCGGCGGCTTGGAGCATGGGGTCAAATGAGAGCGGCTTGATTCAACTCCTTCTCTATCAACTCCCTGGTCTTCATAAACATTTGCAGTGTACGTATAGTGCACACATCTAGGGAAATCTCGGAGACGCGTACGTTGCGTGCTCGCTAAACGTGATCTAATTAACAACGCCCGGACATTGACCATAAGACATAGCATAATCCTCGAATTCCCATCAAATATCAAATACAACTTGCAAGACTAAATTGTAAATAAATATATTTTAAAGAACTATAACCATGTGCATTTTTATACGTATTCAATTAATCACATATCAATAAATTTGATATTTTAAAACTAAATTTCAAACAGTCAATCGAAACTCCGGATAAATGGGGCGCGCGAGACTAGACTCGGTCGTTCGTGAAGTAGGCTATTTGGCGATCACTACATGACACTGATCCAACCGGTAATACGCTCCCGTACGTAAAAAAAGCTCGCAAGACGGTATAGATGCTGCTTGTAAGTATCGGCTTGCCCGGTGATGTAGATATACAGTATGCTTGCGGATGCACCCTGTGTGTGAGAGAGAGAGAGAGAGAGAGAGGGAGGATTGAGGAGTATAGGTATCGCACTTCCGTATGCTGCCCTCTATATACCCAAGCTTGAACATCTTTAACCGTGGTGTCATGAAAGACAAACAAGTTCAATGTCATTATGCGGCAAAAAAATAACATCTGCTCTATTGTTGCATTGTCTAGATTATAGATTATTTGGGTGTGTTTAAGGGATAAACAGAAAAATACTCAATCCTCCCTCGCTCTCACATGGCGCATCCGCAAACCTTCTGCATATGTATCGCACATCCGTGTGCTGCCCTCTATATACCCAAGCTTGAACATCTTTAACCGTGGTGTTATGAAAGACAAACAAGTTCAATTTCATTATGCGGCAAAAAATAACATCTGCTCTATTGTTGCATTGTCTAGATTATAGATTATTTGGGTGTGTTTCAAGGGATAAACAGAAAAACACTCAATTCTCCCTCGCTCTCACATGGCGCATCCGCAAACCTTCTGCATAGGTATCGCACATCCGTGTGCTGCCCTCTATATACCCAAGCTTGAATATCTTTAACCGTTGTGTCATGATAGACAAACAAGTTCAATGTCATTATGCGGTGAAACTGGCATCTGCTCTATTGTTGCATTGTCTAGATTATTGATTATTTGGTGTGTTTCAACTTTCAGTTTGTTGTACTAGATCTAGCTCAACCAAACAAGTAAGTTTCCCTGATATTTATAACAGAACCAAAGTGATATTTGATTTTCAAACAAATTTGATTATTTCAGGGTGTCTCTTGTCCCTTTGTAATTTTGTTATACCAGCACTCGACATCTCATCGCTTGATTGTGTTTTAACGTTTGTAAGACAAGTGTACATTTCACATTATTTTTTAAAACCATATGATGATCCACTATAATTCATGTTGATACTACGTGATTCTTAATTTGAAATGAATAGGATCAATAAAACATGAAATGCATGTTCTACTAAAAATAACCCACTAGGATTATCATTATTATTTTCAACACACGAGACCAACAATATAGTGAACCTTCTGACACGTTGTTAGTTGGTCCAGTTTATTGGGACTTCTGACAACCTTCAACATTTCAACGGACCGATATTTTGGTTTCCAGCCTTTGGGGGGCGTCAGGCTTCTGGGATGTCCCGGAATTCCGAGATGTCCAGAATCCTTTTATGGCAAATATTTGCACCACTTAGGGTACACGTATGTTCCCTCTAGGGTGCTGTTTTGTAGCAGAGGTGTGCACCCCCTAAGGGTGCAAATTGGTACCTTATTTTCTAAGTGTGTACTGCGCGAATACGATGTTCGAAAGAAGATAACTACCTTCATCCCACACTGCGCAGGTCAGCACATACGAGCCCAGATACGATACTGGGAAAGACGACAACTTCTTTCCAGTTTTCGACCCATTGTATTTGTATCGGAACCGGAAGTGCCTTTACTAAATATACTCACGACTGGTGCTGCCCTATATGGCCAAGTACCATAGTTGCAGTAGCGAGAATTGTAGGTCTTTAATGAGCTGTCGGTATCGTGGGATGTCGGTTGTTGTAGTTCTTCAGCCTCGTTGACTGTAGCCACCCTAAGCTGAAGAAAATATCGGTATAATCAGGGGTCTGTGGCTGGACCATTGAAACTACGATTTCTAATTGTCTTAATGTTAATATTAAAGGAAAAGCCCTTGTTTCAGAACGCAATTGCCTTCAAAGTGCATGGTTATTGCTTTTATTCTTATTCATGACATTTCTAGTGCCCTTTAAGGACCTAAAACTGCTATGAAGGTAATTTTAGACTCCAAAATGTGTGAAATTTAGCCAATACGATCATACCAATTCAGCTCTACTTTCCCAAAAATACGGTGATCGTTAATAACTAATTAATTAATAATAAAAATACATGGGCTGGCTGGTTTTGCGTATTATAACCAACACGAACAAGCCAACAAAAAGCCAACATCGGCATTGGCTAGAATAAAACGTATTAGGCTTTTTTGTTTTTTCAACTGCTGGTTCAAATGATCTATATATTTGTTGTGGTACACAAATATTATAAATGGTTAATATTTATGGATATTTCGGCCGTCTCTGAACCGATTTTGATCAAACAAAGATGAATTGGTCATAACTTGTATGTTCTTTCAAATCAATGTTCCATTATCTCACAAAAAAATATTTTGTGTAGCGCCCTCTGCAACAGAACTCAACTATCCCTTTAACATATTGCTCCGATTGTCGCGTGAACATTGCCAGCACAAACCACTGACCTCTACCTCCTGTACGGATCATCGCCCATTCCCATTCATTATACGTTACGTACTAAAAGGCTGTATTGTCTGACCATTCATGAATATTCATGTTTTTGCTTACCTCGGCTAAATGTTTGCTTTTACTAAATTGAAAAATTACGGTGGGGGGTTGGATGAAATGGACATAATGAAATAGGCAGAAGTGATCTATGATAATTCATGCTTTTTATGTTTCGTGTGCTCGACCTATAATCTTCAAATCGCTTGGCAAACTGAGTCCAAAGTTAGACTTGTTTCACATGTGTATTATAGGCAATGACGAGCTTGCAACCTATTTTGAAAAATTACGGTGGGTGAACTTTCAAAAGTCAATGAGACATGAGGGCTCCAATGAAAGAGCTAGTAATAACGTACGTCGGGGTGGATTTGCTATTCGTTTAAACAAAAAATGAATTTTTAACGATTAAAAAAAAAAACGTCCATAGGCTAACATGTTAGGCTGCTGACTCTGACCATGCTCTGACGATAGGGGGCGTTGTGAAATGAGACTAAACGGAGCAATATGTATGTTATATGACATGCAGTTTGTTCAGCATTGAGAGCGTCTGTAAAATGGCTCCTGGATGGAATGCCCATCACCCATGGAATGGGAAATGTGCATGCATTATGTGCGGGCAAGCTTGAATCTGATGGCCGGGGTAATAGCCTGTAAAGCGCTTTGAGATATCGTCGATGTAATAACCAGGGTAATAGTCTGTATAGCCCAATAAAACATTGTCGATGTAATAAGCGCTTTATAAACCCAGAAATTTATCATAAGCGATCATTGTTATGTATAGATATCTTTTTCTTTTCAGTTCTTTTCGACACTGGAAATCGAGGAATATCCCTTGATGATGTTTCCAACCCCAACGGACCATGGTCTGGCTACTTTGTAACTAACAGCTCTTTCCAATATGTTGGCAAAGAGTACAACGCCGTTGGTGTAAGTTTAAAGGAAAAGTCCACCCTCTCATTTAGTTGGGTTTAATAAATGCGGAAAAAATGACAAATTAGACCGGGCTTTATCGTGTTTGGGAAACCACTCGATCGTCCGCACGCTCGGGCTTGTGATAAGAGTCTACGGGGGGGGGGGGGGGGGGGGGGGGGGGGGGGGGGGGGGGGACTAGAGCGGTTCGAAACTTCGGAAAATCGAGAACAGGAACATTTCTTCGAAAACGGGGAATAACGCACAGTGAATATAGAGCCCTCATCGTTCAATGCAAGGCAGTATTATACTAAAGGCAAGGGAAAATCAACGTGCTGTTGATATATACTGTTTGAAAATAGTGCTATGGATATACCATTCTTTTTCCCCCAAATGCTTGTCATTTAAAAGGTACTTTATAACACTAAGCATCACTGATTTTTGTAGCTAATTGAGGTTTTTTTCGAAGAATTTTTTCCGTTCTCGGTTTTTCGAAGTTGTATCTGAATGATGTTGGTTTTCTGTTTCACGATAACGCCGAGATGGGTAAAGATTGGAGCAAAATTGTATCTAAATAATAGTGTTATTGATTTTTGAAGCTGTAAACAATGAAACAAAATTGGCAACTCTGTGTCGTATCCTTCGAAAACCCATCCCTTCGGCTCTTAATTGAAAATTCCATAGATTTCCATTCATAGTTTTTGAGGATCGAATAAATATTGGTTTCATTCAAGGGTTGTGTAAAACGAATTGACAATGATCATAAATAGGGAAATGTATGACTGAAAATTGTCTTTATACAAATTAATGTCGAAAATTATTTAAAAAAATTGGTATAGATAATAGGGACCTCGCACGGTAGGTCACATTGTTGCCAATTTGTGTTTGATACATTACAACCTTTAATCAAAAAATCAAATCTTGTTTATTCTGAATAGGATTCTGCTCAAACTTTCACTGATCTTGTCCTGCTTCTATGAAAACCAAACACTAATATCAGAGTGAACTCATTTATAGAACACCTCTGGTTACGCAATCATTAATAATCATTAGACTGGATAGCACAAAGGTGGGTTGTTTTCTGAAAAGAAATGAAAAAGGGATAACAGGAAGAGAAAACCATGGTCTATAAAGATGATAATATACCAGGCGCGGATCCAGGGGGGCCGAGCGGGCCTTGCCCCCCCCCCCCCCGCCCCCGAAAAAAAAGGCGAGAGAGAGAAGGAAAAGAAGAGAAAGGGAAAGAGGAGAGAAAGGGGAAAAAGGAGAGGAAGAAGAAAAGAAAAGAAAAGAGGGAAGAAGGAGATCGGGGGCGGGGTCAAAAGGACTTGCCTCCCCCCCCCCCAATCAAAAAAACTAAAAGAGAAGGAAGGAAAGGGAAAGAAAAAAGGAAAAGAGGAGATAAAGGGAAGGAAAAAAGAGGAAGAAGAAAAGAAAAGAAGGGGGATATCAGTTGCAATTTTCCCGCTAACAACTTGTGGATCGGGGGGGGGGTGGCAAAAGGCCCTTGCCTCTCCCCCCCCCCCTCCCGTCCCCGCTAAAAAAAGAGAGAAGGAAGGAAAAGGAAAAAAGGGAGAGCTAAAAGGGAACAAAAAAGAGGAAGAAGAAAAGAAAAGGGAGAAAAGAAGGGGAGATCAGTTGCGGTTAATCCTGCCAACAACATGTGGAGCGGGGGGGGGGGGGCAAAATGACCTTGCCCCCCCCCCCCCAGCAAACCTAAACGAGAGAGAAGGAAGGGAAGGGAAAGGGAAAGAGGAGAGAAAGGGAAAGAAAAAAAAGAATGAAGAAAGGTAAGGGATATCAGTTGCAATTTTCCCGCCAACAAGGTGTAGATCGGGGGGGGGGGGGGGCACTGGCGTACTGATAGGGGAGGGGGGGGGGGGGCTTAGGGGAAACAAAAACCGAACGTGGTTTATTTTTAATTCCATAACGGTAGTTTACAAATAATGCTGAAATGACATAATTTTCCGAGATTTTTCCTCACTTTTCAGTAAATTAAACTTTTTTATGCGTTTGTTGGAAAATGACAAATTCCTAAATTTACAGCCAGGCAAGAAAATGCTTCTTGACATGCCTACATGTCAGGGCCCGCGGAACGGCGGGGATCGGGATCCTCGAGCCCCCCCCCCCCCCCACTTTTTTTAAAAAAGTATATTAAAGAGAAATAGAAAGAAAGAGAGTAAGAATTAAAAAATAGTTAACTGCCAGTGTCACATTATAATGAGGTATCTACATATGCTCATCTGACCATGATTAAATGCCTAAAACCCCGACGGCTCTGCCACCTGGATTCCACCTAGGGCCCTAAGGCGGGCCCTTAGATGCTCATCTGACGGTAATTTAATGCCTAAAACCCCTGATTTCTGGGGCTCTGCCCCCTGGACCCCACGCCAAATAGTGTCCTGCCAGTGTCACAAAATAATAAGGTATCAAAAAATGCTCATCTGACCGTAATTAAACGCCTAAAACCCCTGAGCTTCCAGGGCTCTGCCCCCTGGACCCAACCAAGAGCCCTAAGGCGGGCCCCTTGATACTCATCTGACCGTAATTGAGTGCCTAAAACCCTGAGCTTCCGGGGGCGGACAACGTATGAACATAATGTTCATCTGACCGCAGGCGCGTAGCCAGGGGGGTGGTGGGGTGAAAGTGAAAAGGAAGAGGACGTAGGAAGAAAAGGGAGTAGACAAAGAACATTTTTGAAATTCAGACAAGGATTAAGAGTCGAGAACGGTACAACGAATCGTCTTCTTTCTCTAATAATTTAATAAAACGTCAAAGCTTCCGCGCTTCGCGCAGGAGGGAGTGGCACTGAATTCAGACCAGGATTAAGAGTCGAGAATGGTAATAAGAATAGTCTTCTTTCTCTAATGAATTAATGAAACGTAAAAGCTTCCGCGCTTCGCGCGAAGGGGGGAAACTAAATTAAGACGATGATTATTTTCGTGAGCGGTACAACGAATCATCTACTTTCTCTAACAATGTAATGAAACGTCAAAGCTTCCGCGCTTCGCGCAGGAGGGTCGGCACTGAATTCAGACCAGGATTAAGAGTCGAGAATTGTAATAAGAATCGTCTTCTTTCTCTAATGAATTAATGAAACGGAAGGGGGGAAACTAAATTAACCCTAATCCCATTGTTTTTGCCGTGCATCTAGACCGATTAAAATTTCACGTTGAAACTTTATGACTTTTTTCTCTCAAGTTTCCCACATATTTTGATATAAAATTCACCCCGGTCGGACATGTAGAACTGATTTTAGAGGTCGATAATCGCTTGACCGTCACAAAAACCTGCAGATTTTGTACACGTTTCTATGTGATTCATACATCCAATGCCATGTAAACTCCAGATCTGTTATAATTGTTACATTGAATTATAATTTTGATTATTTCTTTGTTATAAGTTTATTTCAAACACTTCAGAGACAAATTCTTCTAAAATAAACAAAAACAAAAACAAATCAAAGCAATAAAATACATAAGAATAAAAACAATGAAGTACAAAAGAAATAAGGAAATATCCTGATTCTCGAGCTTTTCTAAAAACACAATGATACGAAACTTCATATTTATCATCATGTATATTACTATCAAAACATGGATATGAATGAACTACATCATTTGAAAGTATTTTTACAGAAAACCTGAATAAATCCTGTCATTTCTCCTGATTTCAGATGATAATCCCAATTTTTTACCAAAGTTCGTCAAAAATTTGCATATTCAAAATTTGAATAAATTATAAAAAAATATAAAAAAGTCATTTAAAAAAAAAATTTAAACATTTTTATTCTACCCAACTTGTTTTACGACTGTGCCAATCTTCAAGTCAATTGGTCCATTATTTGCCGAGATCCGAGGGGGGGGGGGGGCAAAAAGGCCCCCCCCCCCCCAATGGACTCAAGTGATCAAAATAACCCAATGGGATTAGGGTTAAGACGAGAATTATTTTCGAGAGCGGTACAACGAATCGTCTTCTTTCTCTAATAATTTAATGAAACGTCGAAGCTTCCGCGCTTTGCGCGGGAGGGGGAACTGAATTTAGACAAAGATTAAGAGTCGATAACGACACAACGAATCGTCTTCTTTCTCTAATGATTTATTGAAATGTAAAAGCTTCCGCGCTTCGCGCGGGAAGGGGGAAACTAAATTCAGAAGAGGATTATTTTCGAGAGCGGTACAACGAATCGTCTTTTTTCTCTTATAATTTAAAGAAACGTCGAAGCTTCCGCGCTTTGCGCGGGAGGGGGGAACTGAATTTAGACAAGGATTAAGAGTCGAGAACGGTACAACGAATCGACTTCTTTCTCTAATGATTTAATGAAACGTAAAAGCTTCCGCGCTTCGCTCGGGAGGGGGGAACTGAATTTAGACAAAGATTAAGAGTCGATAACGATACAACGAATCGTCTTCTTTCTCTAATGATTTAATGAAACGTAAAAGCTTCCGCGCTTCGCGCGGGAGGGGGAAACTAAATTCAGACGAGGATTATTTTCGAGAGCGGTACAACGAATTGTCTTCTTTCTCTAATCATTTATTGAAATGTCAAGCTTCCGCGCTTCGCGGAGGAGGGAGGGGAAAAACTCGCTCCTACCTGCACCCACCCTCCACCCCCCAATTACGTCACTGCTGGTCACCATTACGTACCAATATTTGGCTCGCATAATTTCAAATTTGCCCCCCCCCCCCTAAGAAACCCTGGATCCGCGCCTGTAATATATAACCCTAAATAGTATAGTGAAGTCCAAATAAATAGTAGTTTGAACTTCCACGGATATTAAATGCAAAAAGTATTAACAAAAACGACGCTCGGTCGATTTGCTCGAGTTATTATTTTCGAATCATTTGTGGTTGGATAGGTCTCTTCGCTAGGACAGATATACTTCGGAACGGGGAGGACGCTTAGCCTTAGAGGCATCTTTACAGCCGCTGCTCCGTTGCTGCAGGCCAATCTAGTTGGCGGGGTAAAGTACTTGGAGATTCCCATAACTAAAACTGATGAGCTACTTTCGGTCCTGGACACCGCCCTCGCCGAATTCCTGACTGGTCTTTTCGTAGAGTGGTTCTTCGTGGTCACGTGGAGAAACGTTACGCCATTTATGTCTCAGGAGGTAAGTCAAAGCGTATCGACAGAGGTAGTTTTGTCATTTGGCAAGACGGTGATCTATATTTGCCACTCTATACCCAGGATTGTGATAGAAATTGCCATATTCCCTCAAGGTAGGAATACATCCAGGGAATGAAAATAGTTTTTACTGTTTGCGTGAATGAATCCGCTGAGAGACGGTATTCAGTAATAAGCGCTATATAAATTCAGAAATATTACTAATAGTAAGCTCATTCCGTGGGTGCAAATTCATGACTTATATGGTATCATTTTAAAGAGGATCAAACCATTTTCCTAATAGTAATACAAAAGCGATAATTATTTCAATGTCAAGAGAGATATGATCAATCAAACTTGGATTTCCACACTTTTTAAGAGATTTATTTCGGCGCTCACAAGCAGTCGCGTTATAACACATACTATTAACCTAATAATGAAATCCCTACTCCTTGTCAAACAACTGTTTAACCTCTACATTCGAGGCCATTGGTGATCTTTGTATTTTAGTGGTAAAGTCAGTGAATGTGATAAATACATAGAATGGTGTGTGTGCGAACGGCTGATTGCAACTTTTTTTCATTTTGACCACGACGTTTTTAAATACTTTGGAAATCGTTAATTTATTCATAGGGCTGTGTGCTATACGCTACAACTTTCGGGTTTGCGGAGTGAACTTGGAAGTTGCAAATGAGCCTCATATAAACGCAGAAGCGTGTTTACTTAATGCTGTGCTTTCCTCAAGCTAAAGTTCAAGCCCTCGTTAAAATATGGTGCAGTAAACAGAGTAAAACAAATATCATTTGGAAACAAAAATGCAAATAATGATTAAGATGATGATGATAATGATGATGACCTACCTTGACCTAAGCCTTCCACATCATATGGGAGATGTGTGATGGCTTCTGCTTCATGACCTCAAGCTAGATCCTCCTATCTTGTGATGTTCTGGTCGCTTCTGTTAGACATCTAGTAGTACAATCAGCCTTTACACAATCTTAGCTTATGATGATGATGATGATGGTAGTAATAATAATAATGATAATAATGATAATAACAATAATAATAATATTAATAATTATCACAGTAATATTATTATTATATTACGAGCAGAAGTAGTAGTAAAGTAATAGTAGTAGTAGTGTTTTTATTTCCTCCCCTAACCAAAATGATGATGATAGTCAGTCTCCATGTTCTTATTATAATCATTACGGTTACAATTATAGTTTAGTAATGATGATTATCATAATGACATTGATAATAACAACAGCAATAATGATAACAATAATATTACTTATAACACTATACCTCTCTTGCGATAAGCCTATATAAATGACCATTTTCATTCTGACTAATCCGGTCTGGGGCTGTATTTTTCATTGTTTGTTTTATTTTTTGTTTAGGAGAGGAACAGTTTTCAGATAGTCTTCGCAGTGACCGGGGAAAAGACTTTTGCCATTTTGAACTACGAGTCTATTGGTTATGCGGGTTCTTTGATTCGACCGGTGCGGCATTAATCAGACTGTTACTTAAAATCATCGGATCATCGCGTCGGGTCGGGTGGTCGCATTACCCGACCTATTGTGAAAACATGCCCCTTTATTCAAGAAATATCGGGGTAATGTTTGTGAAATAAACCCCTCCAATCTACAAATGGTCTGGTCGAATTTTCGCGACACTTTGTGAAAACCTTACAGCAAATCTACGAAAGGTCGCTTCCTTAACGTGCATCTCCACATGAGTTTCACGAAGTGTCGTGTAAAGCGACCACACGACCGGACGCGATGATCCGACGATTCGAAATAAGCCAATCAGACAATCTTTCACTCAATAGTGTACCAAAGTGTTAAACTATTCGCATGTTTTCCAGGTTTCTAGTTCCAAATTTTTGCATGGGGCTAGCGTGGTCCAATGATGTTGATCCACAGGGGTTCGGTACAACCTCGTCAAAGAGTTACTCTGAAGAAAACCTGAAATTAATAGGAATAGAATAGTACTGGGATCAGGGGCGGCCGAGCGACTTCCAAAGTGGGGGGAGGGGGGGGGGCACCAACAAAAAAGGGCACTTTCTGGAAAAAAAGTGCACCTACAGTGGGAAATCTCAAAGCGAAAATATACCATTTTTTTAGACATTGGTATATACCCCTACATTGTGATTACATTATCAGGGATGATTTCAATATTTGTTTCTCTTCATACATCATACAAGATATCGCTTAAGCATCATACTTTACAGTTGGGTGTGATGTCTGAATATTACGAGCGAGCGAAGCGAGCGAGAAACATTTTAAAGATCTGTGAGGTCGCAGTGCGAAAAATTACATCTTATAAAGAGGAAAAAAGCCAATCGTGATGGGGTTATAAGCACATTCTCATAACGGAAGACTGAAAAGACCTTTGATAAGTAACATAATTATATCATCTTTAAATGCGAGCGAGCGCAGCGAGCGAACTTTCGGGGAAATTGCTCTTAGTCGCTTTAAATAAGGGGCACGTTTAATGATTACATGAAAAGGGGACAATTATCGAAAGGGATAAGACACTTATTAGAAAAGAAAAGGAGCACGTGTCAAAGTACAAAGGATAATTATAAGAGGTGAAAATGAGGCATTTTTTCACCTGAAAAGAGGCACTCACCAGTGATGAAAAAGAGGCGTTTACGAAAATGGTAAATAGGCATTTGTTGACGGAAAAGGGGCATCCATCAGATGTTGATAGGGGCATTTATAAGAGGTGAAAAGCGGATAGGTCCCTTATTAGAAAGGAAAAGGGGCACTTATCATTATTAAAAGGGGAATTATCAGAGGTGAAAAGGGGCACTGACCAGATATGAAAAGGGGCACTTATGAAAATGTAAAAGGGGCACTTATAATAAAGGAAAATGTGCATTTGTTGAATGAAAAGGGGGCACCGTTCAGATTTTTAAAAGGGGCAGTTATGAGAAGGGGAAGGAGCTCTTTTTTTTTAATGGGGGCACTTATCATAAGGAAAAGGGGCACTTATTAGAAAGGGAAAGGGGTTGTTATGAGAAGGGGAAGAAGCTCTCTCTCTTTTTAATGGGGGCACCGAAAGGAAAAGGGGCATTTATTAGAAAATAAAAGGGGCACATGTTAAAATGAAAGCTGTGCTCATCCGAGTTTAAAAAAGGGGTAGTTATTAAAAGGAGAAGGGGCACTACTTACAAAGGAAAAAAGGGGCAGTTGTCAAAGAAAAAGGAGCACCTCTCAGTTTTGAATAGGGCAATTATCAGAGGTGAAGGGGCACTTATCAAAAGTGAAAAGGGGCACTTCTCGTACCTGAAAAGAGGCACTTACTAGAGATTAAAAAGGGCACTTATTCAAGATAATTTCAAGATTTATGAGAATGGAAAATGGACACTTATTGCAAAGGTAAATGGGAACATGTCGAAGGAAAAGGGGCACGTGTCAAAAATAAAAAAAAGGCACTCGTCAGAGGTGAAAAGGGGGAAGGGGCATTTTTACTAAGTAATAGGGGCACTTGTCAAATTAAAAGGGGCACTTCTTACAAAATAAAAGGGGCACTTTTCTTATGTAAAAAGGGGCACTTTTGGGGTATCTGAAAAAGTGGGGGGGGGGGGCACTGTGCCCCCCTGCCCCCTTGCAATTTCTGGAATAAATTTAGCTTTGAAAATTAACATGAAAATGACAGCCTTCTTGACGGTAACGTAAACTACCCATGTGCATGTGCAGTAGCAGCAGACTTCATCTCCATGCCAACTTAACTCTAGTTTAACTTAGACTGGATGTTACGAAACGGTAAAAACACGTTGCTGTAATAAATGACGACTTGTGACACAGTCATGGGTAGGTCATCATTTTGTACCATGGGGTTTATTCAACTATTGTGTTGTATACAAGCTGGTTGGATATCCTAAATATAAGGCTTTTAAATACCTTCACATCATAATAGGAAAAATATACCGATAAGAACCAATTCTGTTATTCATTAGTTCTCCCTGAAACCAGATATCCTATTAAATTCTTTACCTTATATTGTACGTCCTTTGCAACTGCAAGCACACTAAAATTATTTAATCAATCTTAGTACCCATTATGTAAAGTTTCTACTCAATTTTCTGATTCTGATCAGACTTCACCATTTCCATATAACCCAGAACACAAACAGCTAAACTCGGGATTCAATCATGCCTTCCCTCTTTCTAAATTCCCAATTTAGACTCCATAATAAAGATGAACCATGTCATAATCAATCTACTTTTTTTGTTAAACTCTTGAAATAAAAGTAGCCAAAGTGCCCTGTCACTATCTCGCGAAACATTATTCATCCGCGCCATGAAACTTACGTACGTGCACGAGCCCTTTCGTTGCTAAAAAAAAACTTTCACAATATGCATACGCATTCCAAAAATTAGTTCGATCTTAATTTCGCAAAGAACCAATAATTCTAATCAACTATGCTAAATTAACTTAATTACTCCTTCCATATGACTACACACAAACTTTGTCTAAATTTACTTGTGACGTAATTTCCTTTAAAAAAGTATATACTTATGTTTGAACGTCTACATCTGTAAAACAAATCTCTTTAGAGAGTCACCACAGTACCCCACGTGTACAATCTACCATACATCATGCTATGAAAACGTAAGTGATATTATATTTTCGGAACTTCTCTTACTTGCTTCAAAATCGTTTTACTCTCTATCTCTAAAGGCGAAGACAATAATAATAAAGGTAAACCTACTTTAGGAATAGTTAGATAACTTCAAATCAACGGCTATAACTGTAAGCAAACTGCTGATGGACGAAAAAACCTGGTGGTTTTCGGAACTTCTTTCCTTGATCTTTTCCCAAGTCCTTAAATAAAATAAAAAGCATGTCATCCTGTGACACTGGACTTAAGCTCTGGTTTGACTAAACCAGAGTTTCAAAAAGAAATAACCCGACTTCAAAATACGGGCCATAATCATAATGATTGCAAATTTTTCTAAGAAATAAAATTTATGAAATGGACAATTTTCTTAATGTAATCAGATTCAATGCATAAATATTTGTTAAGTGACACGTTACACATGATCTCATTCACCTGTTGTGATTAATTGTATTTCAATAGTCAGAATGCGAATTACATACTTTAATTACTGCTAGGCAGGACAAACTGTATGGCTTGCCCCAGTGTTTTTTCAACATTTTTATGGGCGCGGCCCCCTTTTGAGAAATAAAAAGTTTCGCGTCAGTCTTCCAATTAATTAAAATAGATGTCGGCACTCCGGATGAAAAACGCTGGATTGCCCTATCTATCAACACGGAATGTATGCAATTTGTATTCTGACTAAAATAGTCGTGACAGGTGAATGGAATCATTCATTGTGGCACTTCACAAAAGCCGTGTTCACCCGATGTCGTCTTTAGAGCTTTTCGGCGTAAAAATGGTAAGGTTGACGTAAAGGTCGGCGTAGTGAACATCAGAACGATAGTCGTGTAAGCTTAGCCGGCCGACTGATTTACTCCTGGAAAATTTCCTGGACTAATGTACTAGCACGACTGGAGGATAGCGTAAGTTGACCGTGAGAATGCTCTCACTTGGCACTCTGAGTATATGTGACCTTTCACAATGGTTGTTTGTTTACAATCGAAATGAAATTAGATTTCGCGCGGTTTCGATGCGGAAGCTGGGTTGAGGTCAACTAGTGCGTGCGCCACCACCGGGTCGGTGGAAGGTCGTGTTAACTTAATCGTGGCAAGTTGGTCCGAGTAAGAACGTATGCACAACTGTATAAGTCAAATATTTATGGAATATTTATTGCTGCAGATAAAAACTTACGCCGACTAGGAAGCCACGTCTGAACATGGCTTATTTGATTCACCTGACAGGGGCGGCGATTCTTGTCATGACCGTGGGGACGAAATGCGAGGGATGAGGGAGCATAGTGAACGAGAGGGGCGAAGATGACGGAAGTGATTACCCCCTCACAACGAAATACAGATTTTCTTAAATATTTACCTGTATAATTATTTTGAAGGATATCTTGCGAGGGAGCGTAGCGACCGAGCAAAATTCTGCATTTGTTATTAGTCTAAACACTGCACTCTTGGGCCCTCCAGAGCCTAAAAGTGTTTTGCAGTCTTTAGTAAGTATTTGCTATACATCTTTTGTTTACACTTTTCAAATTTCACGGGGGGGGGGGGGGTGACTTGTCCCACCACCCCCGGGATTGCCGCCCCTGTCTATAGATGGAATTCACTCAGCATATTTTTTCTATAGCCATGCTCAAATACGACCTTTACGTCGACGAAAATTGCCATCGTGTGAACACGGCTTATGTCGGGCAAGCATGTGACAAGCTTTTCATTCTTCAGGAGAAACGTTTGTTAAAAAGGGTATTCAGGAATACAGTGCATCGTTTCACCAAACTGTCTGTCAAATCAAGTTCACCTCGTTCACCGAGATCCCGTTGTTAATGGCAATAAATGCGTTTCAATTGATTGTCGGTGAGCTTGTTTCTATGACGGTATTATGAAACGCTGCCTTGGTTTCTTGCCATCGACTTTATTTCTTAAAAGTATTTGCCATTGTCTTTATTGTCGTTTTTTTCTATTTATCCGTGTCTTTAGCCTGGTTTCACCGATGGCAATAGCAGTACTGAATTTAATCTACCGGTAACAGAGCCGATTAATCTCGACACTGAGAGTAATGTAGGCGTCAATGGGCGCTGGATTTATGATGTCACCGACTTCTTGCCAGGCGTGAACGGTAAAGAGAGTAAAGACGTGTGACGTCATACTGGTCAAGTTGTCTAGGTTGCTGGTTCCAATGAATAATCCGACCGGTTCAATAACGTATTCATGGGGATACTAGTGCCGAGTAATTCCATTAAACTGTTATAAATGAATGAACAGCAATACTTGGAATCCGGTGTGCATATATTACTTGTTGCTATGTCAGGCATGCCCCGGGCAAGCTTTCAGGCTGTCAAGAATTACATTTCTTTAAAAAGTATCCAAACAATTTGAATAGGTTAGTAAACCGGTGTATTTTATGCTAAACAATGGTGTGGTGATCACACCAGCCCTAAACACTGAATTTGGCCTGATCCAGGCCGTTGCTTGAACGACTCCGCGGTGAACCTCATACGCAGGCTCTGTTTAGAACCAGTAACCTGGACGACAAACGAATATGACGTTAGATTTTCGGTATCTCACAGGTTTTCGGATTATTCGTCTGTGATTGGATGATACAGCCTGGTTCAGATATGACGTGGTAAAACGCGGTGTTTTCTTGTTTTTGTTTTTTGTTTTTGTTATGTAATGACGTAAAGTAGTACGCTTCACATTTCGGTATCTTGTAACAAATAAGTAGAAACGCGTAGGACATTTTGCCGAGCGCAGTTGCCATTTGTGTTCACCTTTGAAACATAAACCGCCGCGGTTATCCTTTTCAATTTTTTCGAGCCTTTCGAATAAGAATTGACAATTAATATCGAATGAAGGTAAATTGGCTACTCGGATTCCAATAAGGGGTATACTTTAACGTCTTCAGGCTTGTTCAAATATGGCGCGGTAAACCGCCCTAAAAAGCCGCCGCGGTTTTTTCTTCTACATCTTCTTCTGAAGAAGTACAAGTACGTGTATATCAATGGCCACTGCACGTAACAAAGGCCCGGCCCGGTTGCGAAATTAGCGGCCCGGTTCCCAATCCCAACTTTTCGCGCGACAAAGTCCGGCCCGAGAATTGTATATAAATAGGGGGTATATTTGATATTTTACCCGGGGAGTTCTTTAAAAGGGGGTGTGTTTTTTCCTCTCTCTCTCTCTTGGGACTCATGAGCATTTTAAAAAGGGGGTTAGAAGATATTCCGTATACCATAAATATGGGGTACATTGAGCAGTGTTCCGGATTTAGGGGGGTCGCCATGGCTGGAAAAGCCCGCGAAAAGCCCGCGAAAGGGGGGTTCAGAAATATTGGTAGGCCTGAGATGGGGGGTGCTTTCAAGGGCGGGAACGAGCATATGCGTACCCTAAATAGCACTGAGTGGGGGGGGGGGCATATGTCTTTGGTGTATTAACTGAGCTCCCTGCTATAAGATACAGAAATGTGAATCGTACTCAACTTTAAGTCATCATAAAATACAAAATATTTAAAAACGTCGTGGATATGCTGCGTGATATCCGAACAACGCTTTCAAGATTCTTTATCCCTTTTGCAGCCAACATCGAATTCTGTAAAAGTTTGCATGAATTGTGAATATGTCATGTATGTTCTATCTGAGGAATTTAAACATTATTTAGTGTCTCGTATTCAAAATATGGGTACTAGACAGTGACTGACTGACATCTGACATAAAATGAGCTGTAACAGGTACATTGTCTACTTCAATAACCCACTATTTGTAATGGCCCCCAAAAACCTGATTGAATCTTTTTGCAGCACAAAACGTACACCCATTCGGTAAAATGGTCTAAAAGTAGACTATTGCTGTAGTTGATTGCAATCACTTCAGTCGATTTGACAACTGATGGTTTTTATTTTCCCACTAAAAGCCATTTTCTAGTCCTTTCGTTTTGAGGGAAGTTCTAAATTAGTATTGTCTTTCAAATGCCGTTGGAATTCAACCTTTTCGGTTTTTCGGCCTGCAAATGGGACAAAGTAGGCCTACCTTTAAGAAGGCTTTTGCTTTAAAGTAGGGTGGGTTTAGTGAAAGACTCTAAAGTAACGGAAACCGATGTGCAACAAAAAAATTATTGTATTGACCTGAAAGTCATCCAATATAATTATAAGAATTGATACATCGTTTGTACGGGCTTTAACCGTGAACAAAATAGGATACTCGCTAACAAGGACCATTATTTATCTGGCAGGCGGAGTTCCCTGCGACCGGAGTCCCTGTAAGAATAACGGAACGTGTGCAGAAGAACAATGTACTTGCCCTTTAGGATACGGAGGCACGACTTGCGAAGAAAAGTGTGAGTATGCAATCTGAACTAATAATAATTCGTCGAAATTGTCCCATAATGCACCTGTTTTAATTAAGTTGCATTGCTTGCCTATAAGGCATAGAAGTGCGTTCAAAATACGTTTGCTCGTTTACAAAGCATTAAAAGGTCACGCCCCAACTTATTTGTCTGAATTATGATCTTTTAAATCACATCCATATGCACGTTGTACTTGCGGTGTACACAAAACAAAAGTAACTCTTGCAGATCGCGCTTTCAGTTGCGCCGCTCCGAACTTTAGAATGACCTACCACTAGACATATGAAAAGCCTCATCTGTTGCTGTCTTCAAAGTTTTGTTGAAGACGCATTTGTTTTCAGGAGCTTTTAAATATTTTGTATTGTGTGTCTGCAAAGTAGCACTGTTTATAGGAGTTTTGTTCTCATCGCATCGCAGTAGAGTATATTTATAGAGTAGCTTCGCTATAATTGATATGATTGTTATTACTAATTATTATGGACCTGATGACAAAGATTTTCGAGGAAAAAAAATCAACTGATGGTAATTTCAATAACCTTGCCCATCACTCATTAGTCTTGACACTGACACATTACGTAGTCCGGATATTATTTCAATTGGATATATAAATGAAAGAATGGATAAATGAAATACATTACCAAAACTTAATCATAAGTAAAGTCCACAATGGGAATATAATTCTGTGGTAACATAACATCAATACTTCTGTAAGGGTACGGCGTCGTAGCCCTGTTTCAATAAACTTGTTATCAATAAGGAGTAACGATAATACACCAGTATACAGTTGTATCAATTCGCATGCGCAGACAGTTGACCTCGGGTCATTGGCCCCGGAAGCGGGGCCAATAACCTTTGACCAGTGGTATTTATGCGTAAATTAAGATTGCGCCCATGCAAATGATGATTTGCGCGCACAACGCAGCGCGTAGGCAGTGATATCATCATAATGTGCATGGGCGCAATCTTAATTTACGCATAAATACATGACCTCTAGGACACTGGCCTTGTTTGAAATGGCGCACACAACTGTAAACTGGTGTATTGTTATAAGCTACTGAAATTCTTGCATTTGATTGGCTGTGAGCAGATTTGTCATAGGTCCATGAGTTATTGATCACAAGGTTTATGAAACGGAGCCCTTGTTTTATTTCCTCAAAAATACATCAAACAAACTTATTAAAGGGATCCGGTAACTTTGTCTCAGATTCTGAAACAAAATTCTGGATTTAGCTCATGATGCAATGATAATTACAAACCTTTAGGTCAGTCAGGAACCCCGTGACTTTTACAAGCCGATCACCTGTCTGATTATCAAGATATTTATGATTGGAATTACAAATTTTGAAAACCGTTCGCCTGACGGTTTTCATAACATTACAGTCTATTGGGGAAAACGAGTATGGTAAAACCGGTCACTCAAAGATTTTTACTTTTTTGAGGCACTTCTTGATCATTTTGAAGCGCAATTTTTTTAGGGCTTCAATATTACACCATATCACAGACACTGATATCACGTAGGGCCGTGTATCTCAGATTTAACATTGTTAAACGATCCCTTTAAAATTGAATACATCCCTTGTAAGAAAGAATATTGAGGTAGTCTTTGAGTTGATTTAAGAAAGTGTTTTCCAGAACAACGGCTATTAACAACTTGTAGTAGTTGCTGTAGTAGTAATAATAGAAGTAGTAAAAGTAGAAGTAATAGTAGTAGTAGCAGTAGTAGTAAAAGTTGTGGTACTACTAGTAGTAGTAGATGCTATATCAGTAGTAGTAGTAGTAGTAGTAATAGTAGTATCAGCAGTAGTTGTAGTACTAAAAGCAGTGGCACTAGTAGTATACATGTATTAAGTAGTAGTACAGTCAAACCTGCTTTAGTGACCACCTGTCTACAAAGACCACCTGTCTTCAAAGGCCACATTTGTTGTTTCCCTTGAAAATGGTTTCACGTTGAATCATGCATTAAAGGAACCTGTCTACAAAGACCACCTGTCTATAAAGGCCACTTTTTGTGTTTCCCTTGGGTGGTCGCTATAGACAGGTTTGACTGTAGTAGTAATACCAGTATAGTCGTCGTCGTAGTTGATAGTCTCAACCGTAAATGTATGTATCTATGTTTATATTTGCTGGCTATAGTATCAGAAGTTCGATGTGACAGTACCTCAATGACTGTGGTGTTGGATCAACGTCTATTACCAGAGGGGAGTGAGCCGTCAAGTGTCCATTTTCTCTCCCAAGAAAATGACTGTGTTGCTTATGTCTATGATACCTTCAAAATCGAGATGTCCACAACATACGATAGATGCGGCACCACTATCAAGGTTTGTGGAGGATTACGGTTTAGTGAACAATAATATTTACTGGTTTGACTGTTCTGGGGGGTGTTTCACAAAGATACTAAGTAGAACTTAACACTAAGTGGGACTTAAAATTTATGGGAAGCCATTAGCATCCTTGAAAATATTTTGTAATTTTTTTTTTAGAAGGCATAAAATGTTGATTCAAATCATTCATATTTTCTATTATGGGAGATTTCATGTTCTTGATGTGGAATTGATGAAAAGTCTAAAATACTCCAATTTTTGCTTTTGAATATATTTCATTTTAAGGCTCCAATGGCTGTCCATACTTTTTAAGTCCAACTTACTTTCTACTTAGGATCTTTGTGAAACACTCCCCAGGTTTCTTTTACATGACTGCTATTAAAGAAAGCATATTTATGCATTTCAATAAGCAACCATGGGACCGACGGCTCTAAGTCCTCTCCAGGGGGACTATGGTAATGCCGATTAAGGCCTTACCAAAGGGCACTAGCGCATCGACTTGGTTTCGAAACCGGGACCTCCCGGTTACGAGATTGCTTTGCTAGATATAAATTACTTTGTTAATAAATATCAACTAAAATTTCTTTTACATATCTTTAAACCATCATTGATATTTAATAATTCATGAGTAAAAGAAACATACCAAACTATATAATGATATGAAGTACTTGGTGGCAATTAGGGGAGTTTGACATGATGACCGATTGCACCCCTCTGTTAATAACCGAATAGTCCATGGTGTGTCATGAATATTCATGTTTTTGCTTACCTCGGTTAAATGTTTGCTTTTACTAAATGGAAAAATTACGGTGGGGGGTTGGATGAAATGGACATAATGAACATAGCAGAAGTGATAATTGATAATTCATGCTTCTTATCCTTCGTGTGCTTGACCTATAATCTTACAATCGCTTGGCAGACTGAGTCCAAAGTTCGACTTATTTCACATGTGTATTATAGGCAATGGCGAGCTTGCAACCTATTTTGAAAAATTACGGTGGGTGAATTTTCAAAAGTCAATGAGACATGAGGGCCCCAATGAAAGAGCTAGTGATAACGTACGTCGGGGTGGATGTGCTTTTCGTTTAAACAAAAAAAATGAATTTTTAACGATTTAAAAAAAAACACGTCCATACGCTAACATGTTAGGCTGCTGACTCTGACGATAGGGGGCGTTGTGAAATGAGACTAAACGGAGCAATATGAACGAGTGATAGTGGTTCTCTCCCCAACATCGCCTGGGTTTAGTGCACATGCAGATATCATTGGTCCTCTCTTTAAAAAAAAGAATTACATTTCAAATTTGATCCATTTCATGGTAAGTACATGTACATGTTGTGTTTACAAAACTACACAATGTACAATGAACAGTTACTATTCTACTATGCAAAACAAAATGTAAGCGACCGGCTATAGGCGTGAGACTTGGTAGGTCTGGGGCGGTATCTTGGGCATAATTATGATTTTGATCTACTGAAGATATAAAGACCGTCAAGTGCAGGCGCCGCCAGTAGTCTAACCAATGGGCATTATTACCCCCCCTTTTTTGGGGGGGGGGGGGGGGGAGGGTTCCCCGGTTGGTTTGGCACTGAGGGATAGAAAAAAATACCCCTTAGCGCGTATACCGGCGCATACAGCAAGATATTGAACCATTTTGAAAAAATTCTCTTTTTCTTGAAAATGGCCCCAAAAGGACGTTTTTTTAAAACCGCTTAATAAGGCACCGCACGGACCCCATCCAATCTATAAAAAAGGACCCTTTTATACACGTTTTCTTGCAGTATTTATATTTGACTGAGCTCCTCGGGAGTTGACTACACAAAAAAGTCCAGTTTTTTCTTACGGTTATCATTATTTAGAACCTAAATCCAAGGTAATGTCTCTTTAGATTTTCATATCTTATGTAATTACCATCTTAATTTGTTAAAATCGGGACGATGAACTTTGAATGAAGTCATATACTGCATTTAAAGTAACAAGATGATTCTAGCTGGGTTGCTTAGCCAATGAGAATCAATATGGACTTCCCACTAACACCTAAACTAGTGTTTCATCGCAGCTATAGTCTCGCACAGCCGATGAGGGGCGCTTAGACCATTTGCCACCATGAGGCACTGCATGTTGTAACAATGGAAAACTCCCTCTTGATTACAATTCAATTTATGCGCCCCTTGTTGGCAATGTTAAACCAATATCCCAAAATCGCTACTTCAGGTGATATTGGAAAGTCATCATCAAACCAGGCTCCAGACTTGTCATCCGATACTTATGGTGTCTTTTTGTGCCTCCGTTCTCTCAAAAATGGTGGGCACATGCACTAATTTCTTGGACTTGAGTACTAGAGTTATGCTATTGAGGTTTCACAAGGGCGCCCGGTTCAACCCCCTCCCTCTTAAAATGACGTTGACTATCATGTTACTCTGAAGTCCCTCTCTGTTTATCTACACTGCAGGAAGATGAGGACAACATAATCTTCCAGAACGTGATCACCTTCGCCAAGCCAGGGGCGGGTGATACCGGTGCCATCATCACCCGGGAATACCACCAACAAATCCAAGTCGAATGCTGCCTGAAGAAAGCCTCAGTCCTGACCGGAAATTTCAAGCCCCAAATCGGCAAAATCGACATCAATGATAAAGAGCACGGCAAGTTCACTCTCAAGATTACCCGCTTTACTAACGATGAGTTTGACACCGAGGAGATGGTTAATGTCGAGGATGGTCGGGTGATGCTGGGCACCAAGCTCTATTTCGGCGTGGTATTGGACTCCACAACCACTGTCGGTGTCTTCATCAAGGCGTGCTGGGCTACAGAGGAGGGTCCTGATCATGATCCCAAAGAAGATCTCATCAAAGACCAGTAAGTTTTACTCTAGACGTCCACATTATGTCTGATACACACGAGGCGTTATTTCGATTTAGTACGTAAATATCCGCGATATTGAAGCACTTGAAGGCAATCAGCCCATACGCCAGAAATCCAATACAGCGTTTCCACTATTCAATTTCCATGAGGTTTATGTATGGTACGGGGTTAAGGGGGTACGCCTACGCTCCATCAAATGGCGAAAAAGATATTAGGCCGGAATGTACTATACATGCTAAAGAGAGGGAAGAAAACGTGGATATAGTATAAACTTTAAACGCGTTTACCACCTTCCTCCCCCACATATGACCCAATTCCTCGCATTTTGCATCATCAGGTATATCTGAGTCGTTCAGCTATAACGCGGTAAACTGCAGTAAAAAAAAAAAAAGGCGAAATGTTCTTTTCCCAGTAAATTTATGGCAACTGCAAGCGAAACAAAGGTCCCGCGCTATGTGTTATCTACGTCATAACGCCGTATTAGGGCGAATTAGAGCGTTGCAACGCGGTAATTTAGGGCATTATAAGGCCGTATTAGGGCGTAAGACGCCGTAATAGGATGTCATACGTAAGGCCAAACAAAAAAAAATTGTTGTATTGCCCACGAGGTGCCAAAATATGAGACGGTCGGTCGGAAATCTTTTTAAAAATTCATACTTTTAGGGTCGGTGTCAAAGCGCAATACAACATCTTTTTAAACGCCTAATATGACGTTATAACGCCCCATTTTAGGGCGTCATAAAACGCCGTATTAGGGCGTTATTACGCCGTAATAGAGCGTTATAACGCCGTAAAAAATAAATATTGGGGTAAATCAGCCACCGTAGTTATCCGATAGGAAGTGTGAAGCGAATTTCACTTACGTTTTCAGAAATAAACACCGCCGAGGTTTTGTCGCGTCATATCAGTACGAGGCTGACGTTAGGCGCTCTACCCCCCCCCCCCCCACCACCACCACACCACCTCCCCCATGACACCAGTTTTCCCTCGATAACTAGATATACGCTACACCAGTGAACTAGATTTTAGAATGCCATGCTATACCCTGTATCACATTACAAAAGGCCAATCATTATTTGATTGTTATCTTTCTAGGTGCCCTGCAGAAGATACAGTCACAGTGAACCACGCCCTTCCACTGGATCGTGAAGGATTTTCTTTTGATGCGTTCCGCTTTGTCAACGAGTTCTCTGGGGTCGCTGAGGTAAAAAAAATGTATATTGTTTCCTAAAGACCTCTTCACGATCTGCATTTCTATTTCTCTTTGACCCCCTCTACGTCTTTAGGTATTACAATTTCTTATGATCTCTATAAGCCTTTTATTTTCTAATTACCATTCTACTTCCTTTATCTCATATTTGTTATTATCCTCGTCTTCTAAAGGGTCTCCTTGTATACACTTGGTCCATTAGTTCGTACATGCTATATTCCATTTGTCTCCTCCCACTTTTTTTAGGGGGTGGGGGTCCTCGTTTTTCCGAAGGTTCATAATTCCGAAACACAATTTTCCCATACCAGGGGTTCATCATTCCGAACGTAAGGTATAGACACTACTGAAAATGAAAAAAAGGGTTCGTAATTCCGGAAATTAACCATCGTCCAGAAAACCGAAAATGAAATAGGATTCATAGCTCCGAAGTTTCGTAATTCCGAAAACAATCGAGTGTTCGAATTTTTATTTTCGGAATCAAGAACCTTCGGGTAAACGAACATTAGGAATCGTGAGTCTTCAGAAAAACGACATGTAACACGCCATTAATCGTACATTCTGTTAAGTGTGAATCATTTTGATTGTACACCCTTATTCATGCTCTTAACTTTTGTTTAGTTTCCTCTGTGTATATTTAATAACGGTCGCTTAGACTTTGGAAAAAAAACAACTAAAATGCAATTTCAATACGCTATCGTATATCCTATTAAAACAAAATATTGCATGGACTACGAAATAAGTATAATAAAGGTTGAGTGTCTGGACACAAAACAAATATAAAGACTTCTATTTAACTTTCAGATTTAAAGGAAAACATCCATCAAACAGCACTTACCATCATCAATATTTGTTCTGTATAATATTGTCCAATATGAATCTTCGAAGATTTATGAAATATTGCTTGTAAACTTCTTCAAATTACTGTTTTAAATCAGCTGTCTGGATTCACAACCTGTCGTATATTTGTAATGTTCGCTAATTTCAATAGGTAATAGACAAGGCTTTGAAATTTGCCTTGGGTTGATTTTCGGAAGCCTTTGCAATCGTTTATGATTTAATTTGAAAATAATAATTTAAAAAAAATCATCTTGGAAAATAATTTTTATTTTGAATTTGAATACCTAGATTTACATACAAATGAAGTGCTCGTAAATTATTAAATTTAGTCCCTCGGAGGGGACTTTAAGCCAATGATCCCATGGTTGCTTCTTAACAAGCATAGGCCTACAAAAGTTTTCTAAGCAGTCAGGTAAATTAAAGAACTATGTATAATAATGACTGTGGATGCATTATGTAATTTGAGTATTTTGTAAAATATGAATGAAAAGGATATGGTCCAAGATAAATTTTCCTTTGAATTTGAATACCCAGATTTACGTATACTGCGACGTTGTAGTATGCAGGTCTGACGAAGCTGAGGCTGCTAGGTCAAATGCAGAATGTGGGGAGGCTGCTTCTCGTCTACGACGTCGTGATGTCAGCTCAGGCACCATACACACCCTCAGATATGGCCCACTGGCCATCTACAGTTTGGACGCCAGTTATGCTGCCTCGTCCAAAGGTAGGTGTCATCTATAACAGTCAGACACAACTTCGATAAAACGAGAACAGACAAAATCTACGAAAATGGGGGATAACGCACAGCGTTGTGAGATAAATAGTTGTGACACACGCATATGCAAGCGGTCGAAAGTCAATTCATGGAGCTTCAAATAGTTCCTTCCAGAGGCGGCCCTCCCGGGGGGGGGGGGGGGGCACAGTGCCCCCCACTTTTTCAGATACCCCAAAAGTGCCCCTTTTTACATAGGAAAAGTGCCCCTTTTATTTTGTAAGAAGTGCCCCTTTTACATAGGAAAGGTGCCTCTTTTACTTTGACAAGTGCCCCTATTACTTAGTAAAAGTGCCCCTTTCCCCTTTTCACCTCTGACGAGTGTCCTTTTTATTTTTGACACGTGCCCCTTTTTCTTCGACATGTTCCCATTTTCCTTTGCAATAAGTGTCCATTTTCCATTCTCATAAATCTTGAAATTATCTTGAATAAGTGCCCTTTTTAATCTCTAGTAAGTGCCTCTTTTCAGGTACGGGAAGTGCCACCTTCACCTCTGATAATTGCCCTAATCAAAACTGAGAGGTGCTCCTTTTACTTTGACAACTTCCCCTTTTTCCTTTGTAAGAAGTGCCCCTTCTCCTTTTAATAACTACCCCTTTTTTAAACTCGGATGAGCACACCTTTCATTTTAACATGTGCTCCTCTTATTTTCTAATAAGTGCCCCTTTTCCTTATGATAAGTGCCCCCATTAAAAAGAGAGAGCTCCTTCCCCTTCTCATAACTACCCCTTTCCCTTTCTAATAAGTGCCCCTTTCCCTTATGATAAGTGCCCCCATTAAAAAGAAAGAGCTCCTTCCCCTTCTCATAACTGCCCCTTTTAAAAATCTGAACGGTGCCCCCTTTTCATTCAACAATTGCACATTTTCCTTTGTTATAAGTGCCCCTTTTACATTTTCATAAGTGCCCCTTTTCATATCTCCTCAGTGCCCCTTTTCAACTCTGATAATTCCCCTTTTAATAATAATACGTGCCCCTTTTCCTTTCTATTAAGGGACCTATCCCCTTTTCACCTATTATAAATGCCCCTATCAAAATCTGATGGGTGCCCCTTTTCCGTCAACAAATGCCTATTTCCCATTTTCGTAAACGCCTCTTTTTCATCACTGGTGAGTGCCTTTTTTCATGTGAAAAAATGCCTCATTTTCACCTCTTATAATTATCCTTTTTACTTTGACACATGCTCATTTTCTTTTCTAATAAGTGTCTTATCCCTTTCGATAATTGTTCCCTTTTCATGTAATCATTAAATGTGCCCCTTATTTAAATCGACTAAGAGCAATTTCCCCCAAAGTTCGCTCGCTGCGCTCGCTCGCATTTAAAGATGATATAATTATATTACTTATCAAAGGCCTTTTCAGTCTTCCGTTATGAGAATGTGCTTATAATCCCATCACGATTGGCTTTTTTCCTCTTTATAAGATGTAATTTTTCACACTGCGGCCTCACAGATCTTTAAAAATTTTCTCGCTCGCTTCGCTCGCTCGTAAATGCATATTCAGACATCACATCCAACTGTAAAGTATGATGCTTAAGTGATATCTTGTATGATGTATGAAGAGAAAAAAATATTGAAATCATCCCTGATAATGTAATCACAATGTAGGGGTATATACCAATGTCTAAAAAAATTGTATATTTTCGCTTTGAGATTTCCCAATGTAGGTGCCCCTTTTTTTCCAGAAAGTGCCCTTTTTTGTTGGTGCCCCTGCCCAACTTTGGAAGTCGCTCGGCCGCCCCTGGTTCCTTCCCACATACAAGCTCAATAAGGGAGTAAACTGTTTGGAGCTCCGTGAATTGACCTTTGATCGCATGCATGTGCGCGTGTTACAACTGTCTCTCTCAGAGCGCTATGGCACAGCGAATATAATGCCCCCATCGTTCAGTGCAAGGCAGTGTGTACAGAAGGTCTGGTGAAAGTTAACTTGCTATACATCTCAACAGCAGGTTGACGAGATCACTAGCAACCGATATTTTCATTTAGTGCACAAGAAATAATAACAGAATTATAATATGTATAATATCAAAAGATATTGAAGTTACATTACTTGAACACAAATTAAATATATGATAACAAATTGCACCTTTCCATTTTTTTTTTAAATGTCGTTATCAAACTATAACAAATGCATAACAAATCATATTTACGTTTAGTTACTAATTATTAAACAAGTAATAACTTAAAACTGTAAATGATTCTGTTATGTTTCTGTGATAATTAGTAACTAAACGTAAACATGATTTGTTATGCATTTGTTATAGTTTGATAACGACATTTAAAAAAAATGGAAAGGTGCAATTTGTTATCATATATTTAATTTGTGTTCAAGTAATGTAACTTCAATATCTTTTGATATTATTATTTGTTGTGCATTGAATGAACAATAAATATCTTTAAAAACAAAAAGACCGGTGCGGAAGTTGCGCAGTCTTCTCATCATCCAAAGGCCTAGACAAATAGGCAACTCTAGTGTCGGGTGAATAGTGTGTACTAATGGGTGTATTTTGATTGAGTATCTATAATCTTAACTTTTGTTATGCCTCCAACAGTTGTCACTACAAGTTATCTTGCATGAATAGTCACGTATTTGGGCGTATTTCATGTATAGCGCCCTCTGGCTTCAGAAAGTTTCTGATCACGATGGGAATTATATCGAAGCAAGCTAATTTACAAGATGATCAAAATACTAATGGTCATGATTAATGAATGATAATAACCAGCTAGATGGCGATTATTATGCATGATGAACAAGATGGTATCATTTCATGATGATCGATGTTGATAGGAGTTTTATATGAGAACTATGATTGGTTCGCACCAAATGCAGTTTTAATGGCAACTACGATGCCATGGTGCATTCTACATTATGTTTTTTTATGAAGCAATACAAAAATCAACTTCGTTCAGTATTTCAATTTAACCGAAATAAACTAACATGATTATCGTGTCATTAATTTTGTAATCATCGACATTTTATTCGGCCCCAACCCTTTTCTCTCCCCCCCCCCCTCTCTCTCTCTCTCTCTATCACTCTCTCTCTCTCTCTCTCTATCTCTCTCCATCTCTCTCCCTCTTTCTCTATTCCTCTCACCCCCTCTCTCCCCTCTCTCTCCCTCTCTCTCTCTTCCCCCTCTCTCAAATAGAATCTCGTGGAATGTTCGGCACGAGGGTGTATGTGATGGGCATAGTGGCGCTCGTTTCCATGGTGACCATTTGGGGCGTGGTCAAAGGCTGCAGCTTCAAAATCAAAAATCATGAGGCTAAACACGCCCTTCTAGTTAATATTAACTAGAATCACGATTAAGACTTCGTCCAAATCTGTAACAGTTAAAGGAAACCTCACCTCAAAGAACAAGTGTAGGTATATTCTGAAAAATTAGATGTATTCCTGCCCTTTGATGTACAATATCCCTTACTAAAAATATGTAATGTACAAGAGATATATAAATTAAGATATTCTCGGCATGGTTTGAGGTCTTTTAGCATGACCTGAGCGCAGATATTTCTTGAAAATGTGACGTACCACTTAAAGTTGTATATATATATATGTATGATACACACACAAGTAGTCAAATCCATTCACATGAATTGTATTGTATTACTAATATTTTATTTTGTTGTTTTTAAGCTATTAAACTTGTTAATTAATTATACTAAGTTAGACAGCACCACCTGTGCGCTAAGAAACACCTGTATAAAGCGCCCTATAAATGTAATTATTATTATTAATATACACCAATCTTTAGCTGAAAAGACTTTCTAAATCAATAACAAACCTTTACTTGAGAAGAAATTAAATTTGGTAAAAAAATATCTAACAAGGGAACACTGCAACTAATTCATTGAAATATACGAAAATATAGCAGTTAACAAATCTATTTCATTCATGAGAAATCTTCACCCCAGAAAAGCACCAACTTATTTATACAATTTGCGTTCTGGCAGTTGTAGTACAAAAGGTAATAGCAGGTGAATGAAATGCTTCATCACCACACACACCTGGGAAGGAAGTATCCATAAATTTGAATACATTTACTTGATAAACGACTTCACATAGCACGTCTCGTAGTCCAGCCTCTGTACCGTTTTCGTTTAGCGCACCCAATCAGCTGATAAAATAACACACCCTCAACGTTGAAAGTAGACCTAGCCATTCCTCTAAATCTGGGTCCTGAATACGTGCGGACGGAAATTTGGGGATTGCGCGATCAGTGGAGAGACGCGCTGTGTGTGGGGGATAAAAAGAACGAACGGACTGAATCTGGACTACACGTCTCGTTATGAAGAAAATGGCGATAACCATGTCGTGCTGAGAAATGTGTACAATATTCTTGTTTTATGAATCTCTCATACACTTGTGGGGAATGTTGTAGATTAAATGGATTAGGTATCTTTGCCCCATATTCTAAACAAAATCATGGATTTAGCTCATGCTGCAATAATAATTATAAACCTTTAGGTCAGTCATGAATCCCATGAATTTTACAATTTGTCTGTTTGATTATCAAGATATTTATGATTGAAATTCGAAATTTCAAAAACCGTTTTCCTAACGGTTTTTATAACACTACAGTATATGTGGGAAAATAAGTACGGCAAAACCGGTCACTCAAAGAATTTTACTTTTTTGAGGCACGTTATGATAATTTTTAAAGCGCAATTTGTTAAGGGCTTCATTCATTAATAAATTAATTAATTTATGATATTTACACAGGGTGAATCATTATCACCAATGAATGGAGACCCTCATAAACATAATGAGGAACAATAATTTTTTATAAATATTATAATAACAAAATCATGAACATTAACTCATAACAGCAACAAAGAAAAGGTTAGAACATGTACAAACATATATACAAGCATTTGTTATCCTTGTAATGAAAGAAGTTTGCTTGTTTTTGCTTTGCCTTGCTTTTTCCTTTAAGAAAACATTGTTGCATATTTATAATATTCTGATACAACATTATAGTAAAGACGGTAATTAGTTTTTAAATCCGATGAACAGTAACAATTAGCACATTTCGGTATCTATTAAACAAAGTATTCGGTATTATATTAAAGAAAAACAATATTTCGGTATGTATTACACTTTGAAAAAAAAGCAATATATACTTTTTAGAGTTCATAAACAAAGTATATAAACTACTTAGGCTCATTATTCCACCATATCACAGACACTGATGCATCTCAGATGTGTACAACCAAGAAGTTACTGGTAACTTCTTGGTACAACTGGAGCATAGTTAAATAATGCTTTTAATGATCAAGAATATGAAAAATCTCCCAGAATAAGTAAAAGTTATTTCTCGAGGTTTCCTTTAAACACTGTCTTAGTCGTAGGCACACTTTATTCCCAAGTCTGATGCCATTTGTGTATGAATGAATAACGTTTTGCATGGGCAGATTTGGGATAGCCGAGTCGGTTAATATTTATTTAAATATATAAAGTGTACAAGAAACGAATAAAAGAGACGAATGTCAAAACAAAAATGTTCCTGTATAATGTTGTACCGAAAAGTAGGTTTAATTATATGAGGTGTTGCAAGACCGATAGAGGGAGGCAAAGACGCGGTCAAAAAGCAAATTTTGAAAGGGAGAGAGAGGGAGAGAGAGGAGGGGGGGGGGGGGGGGGGGGGAGAGAGAGAGAGAGAGAGAGAAAAAAAATGGACGGAGACAGAGACAAACAGACATAGACAGGGAGAGAGAGAGAGAGAGAGAGAGAGAAAGAGACGAAGAAGAGCAATACAAAGGAAAAATGGGAAATGTACACAGTAAGAATGAAAGAGAGAAAAAAGAGAGACAGAGATAGAGAAAGAAAGAGACGGAGAAAAAAAGAGAAAGAGACGGAGAGACAGAAAGTCAGACAGTCGGAAAGAGAGACGGAGAGAGAGAGAGAGAGAGAGAGAGAGAGAGAAAGAGAGACAGAGAGATAGACAATTTCATCATTATGAAAGTTATTATGAGATTTCCATACATATACAACTTTCCCCCCAAAATCAGATATTTCTTATTCGGCAGACATTTCAAAAGTGTGTAACTTTTTGGGACGCACGGTAATTGTCCGTTTTCACTCAAACTTTCAGATTATCTTTATTTGTACAAAACTAGCATTGAGGTCACTACCTTAGCACCATTTGCTCTCATCTGAACAATATTACAAAGGGCCTTTCATCTATCCCATTGACTAGTTATGTTTGAAGAAAATGTCTTGTTGCTTACATATTTTTCTACCATGCCCCAACTTCAAAAATAGTTCGAGTCTTAAAGGGCTGGTAAGAAAACACGGTGGACTTACTTTATTCAAGGTAATAACTCCTTGATTTATTGCAGCCCGCCCCATCCACCGCCCCATCTTTCTTCTCCACATGCAGCCCCCCTCCATCACCACCATTACCACCATCTTCATCCCCACCACTACACCCGACCACTACCACCACCATTACCATCAGTACCACCACACCGTCACCACCACTTTAACATCACCACCACCGCTACTATCCTTACAACCATTACCACTACCATCATCAACATCACCACCAACAACATCACTTTTACCATCACCACCACATTCAACATTATCATCATCACAACCACTGCTACCACCAACATCACCACCATCACTGCCTCCGCCACTACCACCGCCATCACTACCCCTAATACTACTATCACCACCATCGCCACCACCACCACCACCATCACCACTACCATCACCACCACCACCACCACCACCACCACCACCACTGCCACCACCACTACCACCACCATCACTACCACAAATACTACTATCACCACCATCGCCACCACCACCACCACCACCATCCAGGGGCGTCGGTAGACCTTTTTCAGTGGTGGGGGGGGGGGGGGTGTAGAGGCCAACGATTACCGACAAAATGAAATGTCCCAATATCTACAAATTTAACCCTATAAACGCGGAGCTGAAAGCTGAATTGTTTTTCCTATGGACTATCTATAGTACTTGCGTATACACAAATGGTCAATTTCCTTGACGACATAAATATACGAATTATTTCGTCAACTTAGTCAGCAACATAGCTATATATTTTAATGCAGGCGCAGAGATAGGATCTTAATTTAGGGAGGGGCGGTAGTGAGCAAGCGAATCACTTGGGGTGGGAGACAGGCCTCCCGCGCGAAGCGCGGAAGCTTAGACGTTTCCTTTAATTATTAGGAAAAGAAGACGATATATTGTACCGTTCTCGACTGTTAATCCTTGTCTGAATGAAGTTTCGCCCCCTCCCGCGCGAAGCGCGGAAGCGGAAGTTTTGGCGTTTTATGAAATTATTAGAGAAATTAAACGATTCGTTGAACCGTGCTCGACTCTTAATCCATGTCTGAATTCAGTTTCTCCCCCTCCCGCGCAAAGCGCGGAAGCTTTGACGTTTCATTAAATAATGAGAAAAGCAGACAATTCGGTGTACTGTTCTCGACTCTTAATCCTTATCTGAATTAAGTTCTTACCCCTCCTGCGCGAATTGTGGAAGCTTCCTTGAATTATTAGATAAAGAAGTCGATTCGAAGTACCGTTCTCGACTCGTCTAAATGAAGTCTCCCCCTACCGCGCAAAGCGCGGAATTTTTGGCGTTTCATCAAAATATAGAGAAAGGAAGACGACTCGTCGTACCGTTGTTGACTCTTAATTCTTGTTTGAATTTAGTTTCCTCAAAAATTTTAAACCTCTGCTGGTTTCTTTAGCTGAAATTACAGGAAAGTGAAACTTCGAGAAAATACAAGAACTGTAGTCGTAGTCACTCGAAGTCGTCACAGTGGATAAAAAGTCACATTTCCTCCTCCTCCTTTTCCCTTTTTCCCGACGGCAGCGCAATTTAACCGACAATATCCTGACAGGTGGGGAGTGTCGCACCCCACACCCCCCCTTTGGAGACGCCCCTGCCACCATCGCCACCACCATCACCAGCATCACCACCAACATCTTCACCACTACCATTATGTCAATCCTGGATGATTGTGCAGTGAGGCGTGAGACGAGGCATTCTGGGCACACAACTAAAAGATGTACCTATTACCTATATTGATTGATCCCTTGAGTGAAGCCGTTAATCCTCTTCGTCCCATTGTTAAAGCTAACAATAGGAGCAAACAAAGGGTAATAGGATTGTTTATAACGGTCTCTATAGGATGATAAGGCGTGACCCTATGAGGACAAGGTGATGGGTGGGGCCAGTTTCTTTAAACCGTTATAGGTCTAAGTTTTTGATTATCCCATTGAAACGTGTGTTATAGAATTAACATGCGTTTTAATGGGATAGTCAAGAAGTTAGACTTATATGACGGTTTCGAGAAACTGGGGAGAAACGGGCCCCAGTTTCTCGAGGCCGTCATAATAGTCTAAGTTCAAGGAAAATCCACAGAAACGCGTGTTAATTCCATAACACACGTTTCATTCTGATGTCCAAAAAGATAAACTTGCGACATTTTCGAAAAACGACCGCCTGTTTTTCCATGTTCCTAGTAACTGCAAAGTTGATGGGTATATCAATGGGATACCCCCCCCGATATATAGATAGATGTATAGATACAGAATTAATACTAGAATGAAAATAAGATTGAAGTGAATCAATGGAGTGAATGAATAAGAATAGATAGAAAGGTATATGATGAATGATTGAATCAATGAAGAAATAAATAAATAAATAAAGAAATACTTTGTTGCCAATAAAGTTGGTATAAATTCTCGTAATACCTTGTCATGACATGATTGTAGCAGTATAATTTGTTTTGCATAGACAATGATTGTATTTTATAGAGCTTTATTGATAAATTAAGTTCTTGAAATATATCAACTTTATCTCTCAAGAATCACTTTGTCACAACTATTCCATGCAGAGAGGTGAGAAAAAATTATTCAAACTCATAGAAAACAGTGATGATAAATAAATAATAAGATGAAAATAAGTACATGTATGTAGTTAAGCACAATTGTACAAACAG